AAAAACAATTAATTTAAACAGTATTACCAATGAAATTATCGACGAATTATGCAATATACCATTGAAAATGAAGACATATTTACCAACGAATTAGACCTTATCATTGATGGAATCTCCAAGTTATGTGTGCCCTAAAAGCCATTAACGGTTCTATCGGTGATTCTGTCTAACAAAGCAGTCAAATCATTAGACTGAATGGCCGATTATCAAATTCCATGGATGATTTATTAATGAATTTGTTGCATCACCAACCACTCTTCTAGTCGACGGATCGGTTACTTTTTTGACAAAACTTAGGACGAAATATTTTATCACCAACAGAATAACCATTACGCACCATCCATGGATGGGTTACAATATATAAAGAAAAAAATAGAATAATCATTACCAATGAGAATATTTCTAACTATCCATCGTCGAAACATTTCGTGGCAATTTCCATCAATAAATGAAAATATCGACAGAATTAGAAGACTCTATTAGAGGTGCCTGGGCACTTTATGTGGGTTGGGCCTCCTATCTAGCCTGTTAGCTTGCTTGGCCTATCTATCCTTCCTAGATTACCTTGGCTGCTGGTGTGTTTGGGCTGCCTCTCAGACCATGAAAGATTGCCTTGGCTGCCGGTGTGCCTGGATTGCCTCACGAGCTGTGACAAACACTAACCCATCTACATAAACACCTAAGGCTTAAGTGAAGCAAACTATGCGTACCCATTGTGAGGTGTCAACAGCATTGCTACGATGAAGCAATACGCTTTTCGATTTTTTGAGATTTGATGGTATAATTTGAGATTTTTGGCAAAGAGAAAGGAATTTCAATCTAAAATTGTTTATTTGTAATTTTGATTTGCACCTCTTTTTGTTTGAACGATTTACAAATTTTTTTTCGTTTTGAGAACATTTGCAACTTTCCCATTTTCTTCTATATGTACCCGTTTGTTCAATGAAGCCCTTGTTAAGAGAGAGACAAGAAAACAAAAATTTAGAGAAAAAGCAGCTAGCATTGTAAGCTATTATCAGAGTCTAAAGTGTGTTGGGACCTTTTGCATGTTTGAACATGACGAGAAGAATTGATGCAGCAGCCATTAGACAACGTAGCATTTTATATAGTGAGGTGGTGGGAGTAACCTACTCCCAAAGTAGATGCCCACTCGCCTGCTTTAACATAGTTAGAGATCTACATTCTTTCTGCAAATTTCTTCAAACAAATCACTCGGAATGATTCATAATTTCCTACCATTGCATCCACTAAAAAAGACAAACTATCATATGAATTACTTTGAAATTTTCGTTTTCATTTTCAATTTAGGCAGAAATAACACAAATGATGATGAAGGTCACAAAGATGTTCAATCTGAGTCCGAATCGTGCCTCCTCTTTTCCTTATCCTTTCTCCGTCTTTTCTTTTCATATGAATCATGAGATTCACGCTTCTCATATCTCTCACTCTTCTCGCGTCTCTCTCGCTTCTCATACCTCTCACGCTTCTCATGCCTCTCACGCTTCTCATGCTTTTCCTGTCTCTTCTCCTCATGCTTCCTTCTCTTCCTGCTGCTTTCATCCTCTGATTCTTTTTCTACAGTGTTGGTGGTTGATGGCAACTGCTCATCCACCTTGACCGTCTCGGTTGAGGCTTCCTTCTGACCGGAGGGAAGGGTACTTGGATCTTCCCATGGGCGTGGCACTCTGCAGCATGAACAAAGGAAATGGAAAAAGGGACCAAGTTGTAAGCGATACTGTCAATAAAGGACATTGCAACAGTTGTTTCCATTATACAATTAAACATCTTGTGACCGTCTTAAGATAATATCAGTTTGCCACATACCTTGAGAAACCAAGACCATGGACTCGTGCTGCTTCAGCATGGCCTGCACCCAAGTCCTCTGCAGTAGAACCCCGCTTCACAAGTTCCGAAAGCTCATGCTTATCAAGGCGATTGCCTTGAGGTTGACTAGAACGTTTAGGAGCCAGTCCAAGAGCCTCCCTCATAGCTTGCTCCTCCTCTTCCTTAACTCTTCCAATTTCTTCTCTTAGAGCCTCTACATCTGATCCCCCAGATTTTTTATCCCTTGCATACCAGTGCAGATCCTTCCCTGCAATTGAAACGGAACCTCTTCATGCAGAGCCAGTAGGCTTTCATTATAGCAAAATCTCAGAGAACAAATACTAATTATTGACAGATTATATAATAATCACAGTAACATGTGAAGAAAATAAGTTGCTTGCACTGATGCATCCAAGGTGTCTGCCACATTTTACGAGTTGAATATATAGAAGTTGGTATTTAATACATCACTAAAGCTTTTGCTTCTGATTCAATAAAATACAGGTTAAATGTCTAATACATCAGTACAAACTTTTGCATCCTATAAAACCCATAATTTACTTACTAAAGGCCCAAATAACAAATTTTACTCAAAGAAGAAAAGGTGGGGGGTAGTGGAGGGGTAAAGAAAAATCAGCTATACAAAAATTTATCGTATGGAGAATTATGAAGCTGTTGACACAACTCCATAAAGGTAACCAAATGGAGAAATGGCAATGGTAAGGTGATTTGCAAACAGCAAAACTGTGGAACACAGAATTTTCAATTCACTATTCTAAGCCCTCACAGATAATTAGATGGATAAAACCACAGTTCAATGAAATAAAATTGAATGTGGATGGGAGCTCTAAAAATGGCCAGGATGCCGCAGGCAGTGGAGTAGCATGTGACCACACAGGTAAACTCCTTTTTGGCTTTTCAGAACACTTTGGTCCCCGTAACTCTCTCAAAGCTGAATTACTTGCACTTGAGAGAGCACTCAGTTTATGTAGTGCACAAAATTTGCTGAATATTTGGATTGAGATGGATGCCAAAGTAATAATCAGTATGATAAAGGACAGCAGTACAGGTTCCCATGACATCTGGTATGTCTTAGTATC